GCAGATACTGGATTTGTGTAAACATGTTTGGAGGCAACAACGGAAACAATTGCAATTTTGAGGTATGGCTTGATGAACCCTGTAAGCAGGAATGCTACATACAATCTTTGCAGTATTATCATGATATGAACAAAAGATATGAACGTGATGATATTGAAATGAAATGAGAAATTGCGGAGTTGAAGGAGAAACCAAAAGAGGCGGAAGAAGAAAAAAATAACCTGGAAGAGAAACTTAAGTGGTTGGAGCAAAGATTACTAGGCGGTCGTGACTAAACAATGATATGTATGTGTTGAGTGTAGTACTTTATCTTTATATTTTCTGTGTCATGTATTTTCATTAGTTGTACTAAATTTAAATTATGTTAAGTTGCTATATTTGTGTTTGTGTTGTAGTATTAAAATAAAGAAGAACCGGGGAAATAAAAACATAATGGGCATATAATGTAAACATAAAAACTTGTAGTTATTATTTACATAAAATACAAAAAAAAAAAAATCAATGTGTCCCACAGCCTATGTGCTTCAATGCAGCCGCTGTCCTGAGGCGCATCTCAGCCCGTCCGGTTACGCTATCAGGATCACCCCCATCACATCGCCTCTTTATCGCATGATGCGCTGCAACATGATCGTCATTAGTGCCGGCATGATCGGTAGAAGGGGCCGTCGGTCCAGTAGAAACCTACAGAAGAATAATTCAGCTCAGTATATGAAAATATATATTAGTAAAGTACCTAGAAGATTACCCTCCGCAATTGCGACCCGAAGATCGCATTTGCGATCACTACCTTCCCCAGACTCACTTCGCAATTGCAAAGATTATTTCGCAAATGCGAAATCTGTGTGGCCCAGCTACTCTTCGCATTTGCGATGAGTAGCTCGCAAATGGGAACCCCCAGAGGTCGCAAATGCAATGCCTGATCTCGCAAATGCGAGATTAGAGGCCTGCAACAGAACTAAAAATACCAGCAACATTTCTAAATCCAATTTCACTCCGTAGCATATCCGAAACTCACCCGAGCCCTCGCGGCTCTAAACTAAAAGTGCACACAAGTCTAAAACATCATACGAACTTGCTCGCGCGATCAAATCGCCAAAATAACACCTAGAACTACGAATTTAGCACCAAATCAAATTAAATTTTCAAGAAAACTTTGAAATTTCTATTTCACAACCGGACGTCCGAATCACATCAAACCAACTCCGTTTCTCACCAAATTTCATAGACAAGTCAAAAATATGTTATTGGACCTATACCGGGTTCTGAAACCAAAATACGGACCCGATATCAAAAAAGTCAAACCTTGGTCAAATATTTCATTTCATTACGCCTTTAACTTTCAAATTTCGACAAAGTCCGATATCTCGGACTAGGACTTCCGAATTCAATTCTGGGCATACGCCCAAGTCCCAAATATTGACCGAAGTCAACTCATTTGAAGTTTTTAGGCAAGAATTCTTATTTTTATCAACTTTTAACAAACAAAACTTCCCGGAAACACGCTCGAACTGCACACGAAAATCGAGGAGGGTAAAAATGAGATTTTAAAGGCTTCAAAGCGCAGAATTAGGTTCTAAAACATAAGATGACCTTTCGGGTCATCATAGATCCATCTGCTCGTTCATCTCCCTCATGAATCTCATGAGTTCGGTTTTGAAGGGATCATTACCGTTATCGTTACCGGATCCGCTGATGGTACCCCTGGCTCTGTCGAAACCGACCACACCCCTCGGGGTGTTGTTATCAACTCTTTGAGCCATTTGATTTGCAGGAGCGCTGGGAGGAATTGGGCCTCTTCCATTTGCGTTGTTGGAAGCACCTAATAATGCCTACTTCAGTTTTGTCATGTCTTGGTCCGGCCTCGAGAGATGACCTACGATGGCTTTTTGTTGCTCTCTCAAGATCCTTACTGTTTTCGCTACGTGTTCGTCCTCCCTATCATCGGGAGTTGGCTCCCGCACATGTGGGGGATACTGCCTGCCATGGATCGGAGTTGCCACGTCTCCCTCATTGCGGGTGTCACTAATTGAATCCTCGTGTTGAGATAGATTTTTGTGCGCCTCAACATTGTGCGCGATGTTGCCATCGTTAGCTGCAATTTTCGATTTTTGCTATGAAACAAAAAATCAACGAGTTAGTAATAGATGCAAGGATCAACTCAATTACGCAACTGTTTAAGCCCCATGGTGGGCGCCAAACTGTTTACCTATAAAATGGTACAGTTGAATTTGTTACATGGTTTATAGACAAGCGAACCGATTTGATCCAAAAATAATAAATAAATAAGATTAAAGATAAGACTTAGCGTAAAAATCAAAGGAAATGGAAAGTCTGGCTCCGGGAGCGATGCCTCCGAGGATAGATATAGTAGAAATATAAAGCAGAAAATGGAGTTGTACTATTTAGCTTGAGAATAGAATATAGCATAAGTTTTGCGAGCGATTTTGTCCATTTACAATGGTTGTTGAAACTACTATTTATAGCTATACCGAGGAAACAGGACCCTAGGATCAAGCCTCTCTTAAATAACAATAAAGGGGGTCATTAATGAATATGTAATGGCATACCACGAATACCAAAATTTTTTGCAACGGCCGCCTTTTTAATACTAAAGAATATTCTTCATTAAATGTCATCTGGTGACAAACATTCGATCTGCTCCCGTTGATTACGCTCCCTTCGGGGTTTATGCCACACCAGCTGCAGTTGTTGCCCCCGGTCTTGGTTCTTACTCGATTCATCTTCCGCCTATCTCCGGTTCCACGTGTCACGCAATCATTCGATTGTTTAATATAAACCAAGTTTACCCTATACACTTATACTATCAAATAACTTAATATGAGACAAATTATTTATACCCCCAACTTTACTTTAAAGATTAAAGTTCTTTCAACTTTGAATAATAGACATTCTCCACCTTTTATTCTATGTAATGCCTTTTTATATTATGTATAATCTTTTATTTTTCAATCTAGGTATTTTACCTATAACTTAAGTAATTTTATATTTTACTATAGAATTTTTAAAGTTCATTAGCATTATAAGTTAGAAAATCCTTTTATGAATTTGTTATAAATCTAACACTACATTTTTATGATTAATATTTTAATATTGCGTGCATTGAATATGTATATATGTCTATATATATATTTAAGTTTCACTTCTCTCTTGTTCTCTATCGTCTATATAGATAAATGGTTTATTGTACTAAATAGAATATAATAATTTTGTATTACCTACATTGAAATATGTTTATAGAATCCTCTCTCTTATTTTTCACTTGGATAAATAAATATTAGAATCTTGATTGCTATTGATAAAATTAAATTTATTTATTATGCCCATTTATTTCATTATAGGACATCATTAACTTATATACTTAATTACTATTTCTTTCTATTCTCTTTTTGTTTCGATAATACAATTTATGTTCTTAAGAGGCAAGTCTGTTATATCGATTAAAATAACAAAAAAAATTGTGATTTTAAAAAAGAACAAAAACATAAGGTTGATAATATAAGGGTAAAATAGGTATTTTAAAAAAGTCAATTGAAAAATTAAATGAAGGGAAAAATATCTACATTTAGAGTATGTTTGGAAAGCCACCATGTAATTGGAATTGGTGTAATTACTAGGGTAGTAATTACACAGCCTAGTAATTATACAGTTGTGTAATTACGATGACCTGTTTTTAGGTCATAGTATAATTACAGTGTAATTAGAAGTTTACTATTTGGTTGCACAAGTGTAATTACACAGTTAGATTAAATTATAAATTAAGTAATTATCAAAACTTACAAATAAATATAATAAAGCATATAAATTTTTACAAGTATAAATGATATTATATTTGATATTTAAGATGTATATTTTTTTCGTGAATATACATTTAAAAAATAATTTATATATATAATTTTATATTAATAATATTTAGTTTAGAGACTTACAAAAACTAAATATACGTTTTGTTAGAACATCATGGAATTCATGATTGATAAAATAAATTAATATTTATAAATATAGTGTTATAACATTATTCAAATATTNTTCCGATCTATGTTTGACAAAACTAACCTATCAATTCTAACTAAAAAATGAACAACATACAATGTGAACCAATACTACTAAAACAAGTAAATTGGAACCATGAATAAAACACAATTTCATAAATAAATAAAAAAATAGTTAAACATATGTCAAATTCCAACGTAATAATAGTAAGTCCCACTGCAACTTAAGATTAGGAAACATGATAAATTTATAACCAAATTCAACAACAGAATTCCACTTTAATTGCATCATTTATTATATGCCAAGTTATTAATGACTCATTATTTCTTATATTAGGAGGTGTAGTTTCAAAATATAGAATAATAAAATAAATAAAAGATAAAATATAAGCAATTACATGGAATCACAAAAAGTAAAGATGGAGAAATAAAAGATAAATAATGTACAAAGAAAAATATATTTAAAATTTCAAAAGAAATTAAAAAGTAAAAATAAAATTAAAAATTAAAATGATAGAAATAAAAAGTTATAAAGAAAATAAATTAAAATAAAAATAAAAAAGAAAGAAACTAAAAAGCAACCTTGTAATTACACAGTGTAATTACCACCAATTCTCACCTCCCCCTTGAGAATTGGAGAATGTAATTACACCCCTCCAATTACACCCAATTCCATGCTGACCAAGTAATTATTTGGCCAAACAAACATGCCAAACTGTGTAATTACACTCAATTACACCCAAATCCATTTCCAAGGTGGCTTTCCAAACAGACTCTTAAAGTTGAGGGAGTAAGGTGTGCAAATTATTATTTTTTACCTATTTAATATGTAATACTAGTAAGTTAATAATCTTTTTTATCCTATTACCAAATCAAATTTAATTGGAATTGGAATGTAAACCCGAGAACGGCCTAGGTATTTTCCCTTTTGACATATTTTCGAATTCATGAATATCCCGAAAATATTCAAACGCTTTATGTAGCGCGTGTTGAAATCCTTTTCCCAACGTTCACCGCTTTCAACATCCCCACGAAATCTTCCCTCTATATATAAAGGGAGTCGGGAGTATTACAGCTCCAGAAAAAGTTTTCTTTAAAGACAAAAACCTCTTTCCTCATCTCTCTACATCCCCCGCAATTTCAAAATCCTAAGCTTAACCCTAGTCCCTAAATTCCCGATCAAACAATCAATCACTAAAGCCCTGTAGAACAGATTAAATTAAAAATCGTGCAGTAGTGAACTGCAATATTTATTTTTGCTTACTAGTTTTAAACGATGTCTGCAATTGTTTGCCGCAAGAGATCATATTTTGAAGAATTACAATCACCGTCGCCGACGTCAGCGTCACCGCCGGTTTCAAAGAAGCTTCGTTGTTCTTCCTTCACCACCTCTCCGGTTCACTTCTCTCCGCCGTCCCCTCTGCCGTCTCTCTTCAATCAGCTGAGAGCTTTATTTCCTGATATGGACAATCAGGTTTGTCTTTTTTCTTTATCTCAATGTATATAATTTTGGCTGGGTCTGTAATGGTTCTGATATTTGTTTAATCGTAGTTGTAGAATGTACTAATATTGTTTATTATTCGTTTTTATTATATCTATAATAATGCAAATTATTAGTATTTGAATGAGACGGGTCCAAGTGAAGCCGAATGAACAAATTTTGGCTGGGTCTGTGCTTGTTTTTTGTACAATTTCTTTTCAAAAGTAACTTCTTTTTTCAATTGTACGGCTCTTTGAGTGGCGGAGTCACGGCCGATGAAAGGGGTTCAATTGAATTGGTGTAGATAGGACAAAAGATAATCTTTTCGTGTGTGAGATATATATATATATATATATATATATATATATATATATATATATATATATATATATATATATATATATATATATATAATTCCTGGATCCGCTAGTTAAAATTCCTGGATCCTGCCACTCTTGAATGTGATCACTGTTTTCGAGGAACAATGTTAAACACGAAACCATAGGTTATGTTGTTCAATATTTTCATCTGTCTAACATTATTACTTACCAAAAGAAAAGAAAAAAGATAATTCTATTTTTGTCGAGTATCTTGCTCCTTCTGATGCTTAAGAATGCAGTTTTAACCTGCTTTTCCTATGAATTTCAAATGCTTTTCTTCAAAAAGGTTCCCACAAAATTGCTTCGTGGTCTGACCTATAGTAAAAATCACAAAGTTGCCATTTCTGTAACATACTAGGTATAAAGATTCATTTGATTACTTAGTCAATTAAAAAACCTTTTAGTTTGGCTGTTGTCTATGGAGTCACCAGGTACTTATTTTGTATTCATACTCTTCAGCTACTTGAGAAAGCATTGGAAGAATCTGGCAATGACTTGGATGCTGCTATTAGGAGCCTGCATGAGCTTCGCCTTGGATATGCAGATGGAAAATCGGACACGAAAGCTGATGGAGAGACGGAAAATGGTAAGTGAATATCAAAATCCCATCATATGTTCAAAAGATTTGTTTGTTTATCATATACTTGGTGTAGCTCAGAGGGATGAATCCTAATTATGTGAAGTTGGAATATGTTTACATATAGACTCACACATACACACGAATAATGTATACCTTTCTCGGCTTTTTGGCTGAGATCAAGTATATATCCACCCTACTGTTATCAATTGACTCATCAGTTACACAATGGTGCAAAATTGTCCTGGGAGAAATACAACTTATCTTCCTTGACAGAAATAATGTGCAATTAATGAATGAAAAGATGTATCTACAGTTGGTTAATATATCAGTGGCACGCATGGATGGTTTGTTTACATATTTATTGAGGTGGCAATGGCACGCATGGAGGGAACAGATACTGGATCTTGTGACTGGTAACACTCATTTGTTACAGATAAGTGTATCTGTGTTGTAGGTGTCAATTTTGGTATCAGCAACGGATAGTGGATCTTGTAACCGGTATCACTCATTTGTTACTGATAACTGATAAGTGTATCTGAGTTTGAAAAGTCAATTTTGGTCCATAAATATGCAACCCATCCAAACTTGAGGTTGGCCGGTTGGGATATGACCCGCATCAATCCATATTGACCCAAGCAACTTAGGGCGGGTTGGATTGTAACTTGTTTATGAATTTAACCTGCTTTAACCCCGCAAATTCTAACCAACTCATTTATTTGACACCCTAGAGGTGTCAATTTCAACTCATAAAAGTGTAATCGCCCAACCTCAAACCTGAGCTTGGTAGGTGTTGTTATGACCTGTTGCTCAATTCATCTTGACCCAAATATGTGTATTCGCGCGCATACATTTTCTTGTATACATGTATATATGGTTATCATAAAATTACGTGTATACATTTGCGTATTTAATTTTAACAAGTATTCGAGTATTTGTGTGTCTCTGTGGTGTATGGAGTACTTGTTATCATGGACATGCCACTTCTCAAGCTTATAGTTAATTCATTTAAGAAGTTGACTTTATTTGTTTTTTTTTTTTTTTAGGGGTGGGGGGGGGGGGGTTGGGGTGGTTGTTGTAGTAGTATTGTGTTAATACATGATCAGGAACATGATTTCCAATTATTCTCAAAAGAAAGATTCTGAATTTTCATGAAAAATTGGCAGGTATGAACCCCACCAATGTGCCGGCTGCTCAGTCAGAAGATCCTTCTGAAAACAAGTTTCCTGCCAATGGTGCAGAATGGGTGGAATTGTTTGTGAAGGAAATGATGAGTGCTACAAGCATAGATGATGCCAGGGCTCGAGCTACCAGGCTGTTGGAGAACTTAGAGAAATGCATTAGTTCACGTGCAGGTGCAGAGGCAGCTCAAAATTCTCACAAGGTTGGTATTGGAAATGCATGTTTCCGTTTTAATCCACGAGTTCTAGACTTATAGGCAATGAATTTCTTGCCAAGGATTGGTGGCAGGAAACATCACTAGTTGATCACGTTTTTTGGATATAATTACTATATATATAAGGTTAAGAATATATTTAGTAATGTTCTCTATACATTCCAAGACTCGTTTCCTTGATTTCATTAGCAACATTAGTGGACTGTGGTGCTTCAGCTGTATGAGAATTACCATTAACAATTCTGGGATTACCCTTTGACGTGCTAATTTATTGACTTCAATTTATTTGTTCTTTTGGGTGTTGACTGTTCCTCAATTCGCAGGAAAATATTATGCTGAAACAGCAAATAGAAGTGCTTCTCCGAGAGAATACAATTCTCAAGAGGGCAGTGGCCATTCAGCATGAACGTCAGAAAGAGTATGATGAAAGGAACCAGGAAGTGCATCAATTAAAGCAGCTGATTGCTCAGGGTAAAGAGCAATTGAGAACTCTTGAGGTAAACATTCCAACTTCATAAACTTCTCACCCTAGCCATGACATATGACAAATTGAATGATTTTATATTTTCTCACAATAGTTGAGATTCTTTTTTGCTGATCTGCACCACTAATAGAAAGTCTGATTGCATTTCTTGGTCTAAGTGCTTGTCCAAACCCTTTTTGATAATAATCATGTTGAAAATAGTTGATGCTTAAACAATATACCTGTGTATTCTAGAATTGTCGTCTTAAGTAGAGCTGTCAAGGATAGGTGGATAAGTATTGCAATATCAAAGGAAATTGTATAGCTATAGAATTTTATCAATTCGGCATTCTTTTACCTCAATAAAAAAGGAGTTCATTCAATGTGACAGGCAGAGATTTGATTATAATTGGAATGCAAAGTATGTCGCTGAAGTACCTTTTCCTGAGAAAAGGGTATTATCCTCATTTCTATAATGTTGGAAACTTAACCTCCAATTTGGCTAACAGAAAATTACCTAACAACTGATGTATTGATGAACATCTCAGTTACTAAATTGTGTTTTCAGACTTTCCTTTTTTGAGAATAAAATTAATACCAAATGCGTTTTAAGGGAAGAAAAACCATAGGTGTTGTTGCTGAGCCATCTAGTTTGGCATTTAGGTGTAGTTGATGAATTAAATGCCTTTCTGTAGTTTACTCTGTTATGTTCGCATGACAAGAACTGCAAGGTATCGAGCAAAAATTTCAAAATGTTAAAGAGTATGATCATTAATATCCTTCTGTAAGACCTTTTATCATCTTGTCAAACTATTATAATCTAACAATACCTTTCGCTATTCAACAACAATAACAACATACCCAGTGTGATCCCACAAGTATCTGGGAAGGGTTAGTTTACGCAGAACTTACCCCTATCTTGTGGTAGAGAGGTTGTTCGCACAAACCCTTGGCTCAAGAAAAGCATTTGCAAAACAGGTTGAAAAATACAACAGTAAAAAAGCTAAGATGAAAGAAAGTACTAAAGAAAATAAAAGTAATGACAACAAAATAGTAACGATACCCAAAGTAAAAGAAACAACAGTAATAATACGGAGAAGAGGGAGCAGATAAGGTGCTCTAAACTAGAAGCTTAATCTCCCACAGAAAAGAGAGAAATCGGTCGACTGCCTACTGGCCTTCTACCCTAATCCTCGACCTCTGTGCTCTCCTATCTAGGGTTATGTCCTCGGTAAGCTGAAGATGTGTCATATTCTGTCTAATGATCTCTTCCCAATTCTTCCTCGGTCTACCTCTCCTTAGACCTACCACTGCCGACAATACTTTTTGCTATTGTTTCATGAAAACTTTTGTATCTTCATATCAAACTATTCGTGAAGTTTGTCCCACAGCAAATTGTTTCAGATTAAACAATTATGTAGCTATTGATGTGAAATATAGGCAGGTTTAGTTGAAAAGGATTTGTAAAAACTTGCAGTGCTCCACCTATGAAGGAGACTTTTAAGATTTACTTTATCCAGAAAAAAGTAGACCTTTCAGTTTTAGAGAATTGAAAAAGATACAAGTTTATCCGCTCTTAACTTTCTGATTTAATTTTCATGTCACAGATCAACAATTATGCTTTGAAAATGCATTTGAGGCAAGCTCAGCAAAGCAACTCTATCCCTGGATTCAATCCTGATGTGTTCTAATGTGCCGAACTTTCAAAGGAAAAGATGGAGCCCTGATATGGATGTTTTACGGGACATATTCTTTCTGTTGTCAGATCTTAGAGTTGTAAGGTTTCTCTAGGCCAACTTGTGCTGATGATTCCAGTGAACCTGCACACAAGGGACATAGCCAAATTTCCAATGTTGAAGGCGTCAAATCAGTAATCTTAGTGATGGAAACAAGCTGAAGTTTAAATTATGATTTTGTTTCTTTCAGTATGAATTTTGTGAGGCCTTCAATTGATATACAAAATTAATAGACATTATTAATAGGCGAAAGGTCTTTGCCATACATTTTTCTACACTGAATGGTTGATCAACATCGATCATGATACTCCATGTCTATGTTAGATGAGTGGTGTTGCTGCTAATAGTCGTATTTTCGTTGATCTTTGTAATTATAACTATTGGTATTTTGAGATGAAACAATATAAATAAATTAAGATGTCTTTGATAGTTATCGCTGGGGAATTTTTTTATTCACACCGTGTGTTTATTAGAGCAATGGGTGCAGGTAATGGCCATTCACCAGCTTAGCTTAAATTAATTTTTTTTTTTTTTTTTTTTTTGTGGGGGGTGTGGCAAGACTAGCTTAGCTTAATTAACAGTAGTAAACAGTGATATCGTGCATAAATCTTAGTTCTCAATTAAATGTTAGTCGAAACTTAACAATAATCTTTTTTCTCCACCTAAACTAAGTGAAACTTTTCCTGCCATAAGTTATATTTCAGCTGGAACACTGTGTACGTAAGCAATTTTGTCTGAGCTGACATATTTTAGGTGTTGGTGAGGATTACACGAAGGTGAATATCTAAGTTCCTGATTCAGCATAGTGTCATAGCAATCATAAAATTTGCAGCAATCTAGACTTCACGGCAAAAAAAAAAAAGGAACTTTGGTGCAGGATAAAGTTGTTACTGTGTGAGCGGATTGGAGTGGAAATAATCTCTACCTTGTGATCGTGTGACAGGATTCAGGTCGCAAAAATAATCTCCTGTATAGATATAAGATAAGGTTGCATAAATAAAATGTAGTTATGATCCTTTATCGGAGCCTGTGTATAGGGGGAATTAGTGTACTGGTCATTGGTTTTCTTTTTTTTAAGTGTTGATTTAATAGCTTTTTCTTTTTCCTATCATACATAAACAACTCCGCAAAACTGCAAAACTACTACTAAGAATACCAATACTATTCGAAAGTATGCAATAATCTGCAAAAGAAGGGACAATAGGAAAGACCTCCGAATGTCTCCGACACAGGATTAAGTCTGTCTTTTTGTTTAGGTATCACTAGATATGTTAATTGTGTTGGATTTTTATGTATTTAATATATTAAATACTTAAAAGAGGGTGAATGGGAAATAGAGGGAAATAAAATTTTTGAGTGAAATTTAAGTTTCCCCCCTTGGTAAAGGGATATTGTCCCATATTGGAAGAGGAAGAGGTTTTTTATGGGTATATAAGCAATTGCTCTTCTTCTAGCTCTTAAAGAGTTGAGAAGAAGGCAAGCCTCGTGCCATCGTTGTCGCTCGGCTCCGCTTCGGCTTCGGTCAATTGATTGATTAATTTTTTGGACCAAATTAATTTGTTAATAGTAAAATATTGATAACAGAAAATTAACTACCCTCTTCAATTTTCCCTCTTTATTGTTGAGTAAATAGCCATTTATGTAAACAACACTATTCTGCTCAGAATTTCCATACGATTTTCTGAGTTTCTCCTCCTTCTGCATACTTTTAGCATCAAACAAAGCAACAGTAAGTGTGATTAGCTACCGAACTTTGTGTTCGCTGAAACACTGGGGTTTGAAGTACCACTACACCAGTGTGTAATTCGTTCTATCCTGGGAGAAAATAATCCATAACCTTGGGTACTAGGAGGGGATTAAATTCCTTAAGTAAATACTGTGAATTCAGTGGACTCGAATTGGTTTTCTGTTATTTCGTTGTTCATTTCTGTTTATGTTCATTTATATTTCCAGAATTATTTAACAAATACAGTATAATAACAAGCTTAAGGAATTTAATATATTTTCTGTATTTGTACTCACTGTTTCTGGAGAGTAAAACCTGTGTGGTTATGTACTCTATTAAAATCTACGTGATTTTAAAGTTTGTGTCATTCTTTTACAGAAATGACTAATGATAATGTGAACCAAGCTGTTCCAATGGTGACTGCCAATGCCTCAACAAGCCGAACGACACCGGCAGCATTGGCACCGGCGGAGAAACCCGAAAAATTTTCCGGGATTGATTTCAAGCGCTGGCAGCAAAAGATGTTCTTCTACTTGACTACTCTAAGTCTCCAGAAGTTCATCAAAGAAGATGTTCCTGTGCTGTCCGATGAAACTCTAGAAACTGAACGCTTTCTCGTGATTGAGGCGTGGAAGCATTCAGATTTTTTGTGCAAGAATTATATTCTAAGCGGGCTGGAGGATGCTTTGTATAACGTCTACAGTGGCGTGGAAACGTCAAAGGAACTGTGGACTGCTCTTGAAAAGAAATACAAAACCGAAGATGCCGGGTTGAAGAAGTTCGTTGTTGCAAAGTTTTTGGACTACAAAATGGTAGATAGCAAGTCTGTTATTACCCAAGTCCAGGAATTGCAAGTGATTATTCACGATCTCCTTGCTGAAGGTATAAATCAAATTAATATTGACGTTGAAAGTAGTAATCTTAGTATTTTTACTAACAGAAATTTCATTGAAGGTCTTGTCGTCAATGAAGCATTCCAAGTAGCAGCGATGATTGAGAAGTTGCCTCCTTTGTGGAAGGACTTCAAAAACTACTTGAAACACAAACGCAAGGAGAAGTCCCTTGAAGATCTCATTGTTCGGTTGAGAATCGAAGAGGACAACAAAGCTGCTGAAAAGAGAGGCCGTGGAAACTCAACAATAATGGGAGCAAATATTGTTGAAGAGAACAAAAAGAGGAAGAAGGCTTCTGGACCGAAATACAACTCAAACAAGAAGCGGTTTAGTGGAAACTGCTACAATTGTGGAAAAACCGGACACAAATCTACGGAGTGTCGTGCTCCGAAGAAAGACAAGAAGAAGGGTCAAGCAAACATGGTTGAAAAGCATGATGATGTTGATGACTTATGTGCCATGCTTTCCGAATGCAACTTGGTGGGTAATCCTAAAGAGTGGTGGATTGATTCTGGAGCCACTCGCCATGTTTGTGCTGTTAGAGAAGCTTTTGCTACTTATGCTCCTGTTGGACCCGATGAGACGATCTCTATGGGAAATGCTTCAAAGGCCAAGATTGAAGGATGCGGGAAGATATTTCTAAAAATATCCGGCAAAGTGGTGACTTTGAACAACGTCCTTCATGTTCCCGAGATTAGGAAAAATTTAGTCTCTGCTGGACTTCTTGTTAAGAATGGTTTTAAATGTGTTTTTGTTTCCGATAAGGTTGTAATAAGTAAGAACGGAATGTTTGTAGGAAAATGTTACCTCACCGAGGGCCTTTTCAAGCTGAATGTAATGGTTGTTGAAAATAATAATAAAATTTCAGCTTCGTCTTACTTACTTGAGTCAAATGAATTGTGGCATATACGTTTGGGTCATGTTAATTATAAAACCTTGCGGAAAATGATTAATTTGGAAGTATTGCCTAAATTTGAATGCGACAAATCAAAATGTCAAATATGTGTGGAATCTAAGTATGTTAAACATCCTTATAAGTCAGTTGAAAGGAATTCAGATCCTTTAGACTTAATTCACACAGATATTTGCGATATGAAGTCAATACCATCTCGCGGTGGAAAGAAGTATTTCATAACTTTTATTGACGATAGTACTAGATATTGCTATGTTTACTTACTTAATAGTAAAGATGAAGCAATAGACGCATTCAAGCAATACAAAAATGAAGTTGAAACGCAACTTAACAAGAAAATCAAAATGATAAGAAGTGATAGGGGTGGTGAATATGAATCTCCTTTTGAACAAATATGTTTAGAATATGGAATTATTCATCAAACAACGGCCCCTTACACGCCCCAATCCAATGGGATTGCAGAAAGAAAGAATCGTTCATTAAAGGAGATGATGAACGCTTTATTGATAAGTTCTGGTTTGCCACAGAACTTGTGGGGGAAGCCGTTCTTACGGCTAGCCGAATACTAAATCGAGTACCCCATAGCAAAACACAATCCATTCCATATGAAAAATGGAAAGGAAGGAAGCCCAACTTGAATTATTTTAAAGTGTGGGGGTGTTTGGCAAAAGTGCAAGTTCCTAAACCCAAAAGGGTAAAAATAGGACCGAAAACCGTTGATTGTGTTTTCACAGGATATGCGATTAATAGTAAAGCATATCGATTTTTGGTTCACAAATCAGAAAATCCGGACATTCATAATAATACGGTAATAGAATCAGATAATGTTGAGTTCTTTGAAAATATATATCCGTATAAAAAGGAATGTGAGTCGATTGGTGAAGGATCTAAACGACCTCGGGAAGAAACAAAAGAAAGTACACTTAACCAGGAGGATCCAAGACGTAGTAAACGTCAAAGAACGTCTACTTCATTTGGACCAGATTTTGTGACTTTCTTATTGGAAATGAGCCTCAAACATTTAAAGAAGCTATGTCTTCTTCGGAATCCTTGTTTTGGAAAGCAATAGTGAAATAGAATCCATATTGAACAACCATACATGGGAATTGGTTGATCTTCCTCCTAGAAATAAACCGTTGGGTTCTAAATGGATCTTTAAGAGGAAGATGAAAGATGATGGCACTATTGAAAAATTTAAGGCAAGACTTGTGGTCAAAGGGTATAGACAACGAGAAGGTCTTGACTATTTTGATACATACTCTCCAGTTACAAGAATTACGTCTATACGAACGTTAGTAGCGTTAGCTGCAGTTTATGGTCTTGAAATTCATCAAATGGATATTAAGACAACCTTCTTAAATGGAGAGTTGGAGGAAGAAATCTACATGGAACAACCTGAAGGGTTTGTGGTTCCAGGTAAAGAAAAGAAGGTCTGTAGACTTGTTAAGTCCCTTTACGGATTAAAACAAGCACCCAAACAATAGCATGCGAAATTTGACCAAACAATGTTGTCAAATGGGTTTAAGATAAATGAGTGTGATAAATATGTGTACATTAAAAATATTCCAAATCACATAGTCATTGTTTGCTTATATGTGGATGATATGCTCATAATGAGTAATGACATTGCCAACATAAATGCTACTAAACGTATGCTAACTAGCAAGTTTGATATGAAGGACGTGGGAGTTGCTGATTTAATTTTGGGAATTAAGATCCATATGAATTCTCAAGGTCTGGCATTGTCACAATCTCATTATATTAAAACAGTACTTGAAAAATTCAAGCACTTGGGCTTTAAAGTTGCAAAGACTCCAATTGACGTGAATCTTGCATTAGCAAAGAACAAAGGCCAAAGCATATCACAATTGGATTATGCTCGTTTGTTGGGTTGCTTAATG